GTGGTACCAGGGATTGAACTCAGGACCTTGCGCTTGCCGGGCAAGCACTTATTCCACTGAGCTACCTTCCCGGCCCCTGTTTTCCTAATGTGAAAATTTAGCACTATTAAGTTCCCTTGTAAGATTGCTTTTATTGTATCCCATAGGTTTTGGTGTGTTGTATTGAATTGTAGAAACTCTAATTTCTTCTTTAATATTGGTTAATAATATTCTACATCTTGGCAGGGTGTTTAATTACCATGTGTTATGAAGTTTTTGTTTCTTTTCACCATTGATTTCCAATTTCATTGTACTATGCTCTGATAATATGCATGAGGTAATTTTAATTCCTTTGCCTTTACTTAAGAATGTTCTATGAGTTGGTGTGTAGTCTATTTAAGGAACCTTGTGGGGACAGCAGAGAAGAATGTGTATTTTGATGTTGTGAGATGAAACACTGTAGACATCTACTGACACCATTTATTCACAGGTTTGATTCAGTTCTCATATTTCATTGTCATTTTGTCTACTTGATGTTTTTGGGAGTGTGGTCTTCAAGTCCCTCATTACAACTGTTAGTTGTATTAGTACTTATTTCATTTTTCATGTCTGTTAATATTTGTTTTATATAACTGGGAGCACAGGTATTTGGTGCACATGTATTTATGGTTCTTTTGGTTTCCTCCCTTAATAAGAATGTAGTGACCTTTTTTGTCTCTCTAAAATTGGTCTTACCTTAAAATACAATTTGTTTGCAAATAGATTAACTATATGCTTGCTTTTTTCTGGATTCTTGTCACATAAGAGTATTGTTTGACCTCAGTCTGAATTTCTTTTTTTTTAGTGAAATGTATTTCTTTTTATTTTTTTATTTATATATTTGGTATAGGGTCTCTCCTATGGAACTTGAACTTGTAGTGATCCTCCTGTTTTCAGCTTCCCCAGCGCTGGGATTACAGGCGTGTACAACCACACCCAGACCAGGTCCCTTGCTTGGCGTGCCTTGGGGGCGGGGCCCGTGGAGCATGTTGTAGCAGGGATCAAACCCTGGTCCCTATGCTTGCCTAAGCAGACACTTAGTCCACTGAACAATCTTGCTGGCCCAAAATACATTTTTTGTATGCAATATATTATTGTATCCTGTTTCATGATCAGTTCTGTCAGTCTCTTTCGACTTGTGAATTGAGACCATTTTATTTATGATAGTAATGGATATGTATTGACTTAACCTTACATGTTATTTTCTTGTTGTTGGTTCCCTTTCTTTATTCTCTGTTAAATTACTTACTTGCCTGGTGCATTTATTCATTTGGGGGTTGATAGAATTGAAGTCTTCGTTATCTCCTAGAATGACCTTCAGAACATTTTAGAGTATTGGTTTGGTGGTCATGAATCTCTTCATGTGTTGTCCTGGAAGAATCTTATTTCTCCATCCATTTTGATAGTTTTGCAGGATACTTCAGTCTCGGTTGCGTAATTCTGGTGGACTTTCCTTTATAAGTAACTTTTCTCTCTACAAGCTTTTAATATTCTAGCTAATTGGAGTTCTCTACTCATATATATATATATATATATGTTTTCATGCTTGAGAAGTTGTCTGCCAGTACATAGTTTTATGTAGTTTGTACTCTGTCCTGCACTTTTTTTGTTGACTCTGATTGTGTGTTAGACTCTGATTAATTGTATGTTATTCTTCTTTGCATCATCTAGCAAATGTTGGATTTTTTTTTTTGACACCTTATTGTTTTTAAGAAGTCTTTCTTTTCATGATCACAAGCCATAATCTTGTTGTGTAGATCTGATACTCTGTCTTCTCGTTCATTTGTTCATTCATTCGTTCTTTCTTTTTTTCTGCCTCAGGTTTATTTGTACAAAGAGCACAGGAGGACACCAGCTCCCCACAGATGGCACCCCAGGGGTCACACCAGTCCTTCTGTTTTTGTAACAGCAGATACAAGGCTTTTACTGTGGAGCCTTCATGGGGGCCTGGGCACCTTTGGGAGCCTGGGCTGGAGCAGAAGCTGGAGCTTGGGCCTTAGCTAGAGCCTGGGCCTTTGGCCAGCAAGTCCTGCGGCCCTTGGCAGTGTATGCACTTCCCAAGCTAGGGGTGGGCAATATAGGCAAGTTGAGCAAGCCTGTGGTTTACTCCCTTTGGGATTATATTAGGCTTGACCTCCTTGGGCTTGACAAGGGCCTTGATAGCCTCAGCACGTGTACTCATGGCCTTGGAATTGTTTACTTGCATTTTATGAATCCTTTCTTGTTGTGCTTGTTGGCAAAATGTATGTTCCTAAGAAACTTGGGATCTACTACCCCCTTTAAGAGATTCATATCTTTATGACCAAGGTTTCTTGATGCCATTTCTGTGCTACTTTTAGGACTGGTTGCATGTGGTGTGATTCTTGGACTTGGCCATAACTGCATTGTAAACTGCAGCTGCCAAGTGGCTGGAACCAGAAGAAGACTGTGTTGGTTCTTTCTTCCACCTTTACTTTCAATGGAATTTTTAATTTGCTGAGTTCATGGATTCCATTTGTTTCTTGTACTGGGCTTTCACAGTTTCTATCATTTTCCTAAACTCCTCTATTTTTCTTTTT